ACTGAACTCAAGTCCCATTAACGCTTATTAAAAACAAACAAGAAAAATACCCAGGTAATGTATACACATTATAGAAGTGAAGATAAGTCAAAAGGAAAATATTCATCACACTCTGCTGTATATCCTTTTAGACTTTCTCAGTACAGTCTTGGTACACATTTTACTTTTACAAAACTTACTCATCCCGAATATACTGTTTTGTAGCCTCCATTTAAGACTTTTTGAATTTGAATGGTGAACATCTTTCCATGTCAAATATTTCAGCAACATTAATACAGGCATAGTATTCCATTAAGTGGATTTATAATAACTTATTTAGCTTATTCTTATGGGTCACTAAGTCCAACTAAGTCTATACATTTTTATTTTTCTTAGAATAAGTTCATAAATGTGTCAGGTCAATTCTATTGTCATGTTGCCAACAAAAAATTTGTACCAACCTACACTTCGTTGTTGTTGTTGAGGAAGATTGGCCCTGAGCTAACAACTGTTGCCAGTCTTCCTCTATTTTGTATGTGGGATGCTGCCACAGCATGGCTTGATGAACGGTGTTTAGGTCCATGCCCGGGATCCAAACCCATGAACGCCGGGCCACCAAAGTGGAGTGTGCAAACTTAAGCACTGTGTCACCGGGTTGGCCCCTCAACCTACACTTGCTGGCAGTTTTTCATAGTACCATTTACATGCTTACCAACATTGGCTATATTCTCTCTTCTCCTGTCTTTGCCATTGTGATAGGCAAAACCTCACATGTTAGAAATTTTCTTTATTAATTTTGAACTCATTTATATTTTGTGAATTAGTTGTGTGAGGCTTTTGCCATTGAGACGTTTGTGTTTTCCTTACTGATTTGTTAGAATTCTTAGTAGGTTACTCTTGAATTTTGCAGATAACTCCCCTAGTATGTAGTTTGCCTGTCAGTGGTACTTTTTTTCACATAAATAATGTATTTTTGTGTAGTCATTGGTTGGTCTCCTCTTTTATGGTTTTTGTCTATGGTACACAGGTGGTGGATCAGGAAGACTGTCTTTGCTCTGATTATATGTATTTTTGGTACTATATATTTTGTTTCATATAAATCTTGAATCCGTCTTCAATTTTCGTGTTTCCACGTGAAAAAAGGGCTCAACTTTATTTTCCAAAAAACAAAGCACTGATGTATGGTCTTTTTTGACTTTCATGGTGTAAGTACTCCTTCTGTGGCTGGTTTCATGCTGCCAAGGGTATAACAGCTGGCCTGCAGACTTCCTAAAGAGTGAAGAGTTGGTTCTCAGGAGCCAGTAGGAGCCTGTTACTCCAGCCACTGCCTCTGACCCTTGTTGGGGTGGCAGGGGAATGCTTTCCCTCCTCTTGTTTCTTTCCCTTTGGAGGGAGGTTAAATGATGTAATGATACTACACTTTTTCTACCCTTTTACTCATCCTCTGGGAGCTGGGTAGTCATGCTCAGCTCTTACTGTTTTTCCATCTAGGAGTTAGTAGCCTGCAGGGAGCACATGTTAATTCCAGCATGCTATGAGTTTTAGAGGAGCCTGACCTCACTTAGGGAGGCGTACAGTTACCTAGTCTGTGGCTGGGTGGATGAGTTCACTCTGGGGTTCAGTAAGAGGAAGTTCACTTGCCTACAGATAAGCTGTCTCTTAATCTGGTCTTTAGCAGTAATAAAGATGATGATATGACTCTCATTTGCTTACACTCTTGCCTTCTATCACAATTCGTTTAGATTGGGTACTATTCTAAATAAGGGTTTCTTAACCTTGGCACTATTGACATTTTTGTCTGGATAATTCTTAGTTGTGTGGTCCCTCCTGTGCATTGTAGAATGTTTAGCAGCATCTCTGGCCTCTACCCACAAGACGCCAGTGGCATCCTTCCTTTTCTTCCCTGCTTCCCCCAGATATTGCCAAATGTCCCTTGAAGGCAAAACAATCACCTGTGGTTGAGAACAACTGTTCTAAATAATAGGGATGCTATTTACTGGACCCTCCAAAATCTAATATTTGGTGTATGGGCGAGGAGCATTGGATCTAGACCATGAGTAAAAATTAGGGAGAAAATGCTGCGATTGAGGATTCCAGCAGGGTAATATGGTTGGTTTAAAGTTGAAATGATGTATTTGGTGCTAACCATATAGGGTTTTCACTTTGGCAGGTTGCTGGTGAGTGTCTCTTTATAGAGGTGGTGTTTCATTTCCATAGAGGTAGGGCTGTATGTGCTGGGCCCTAAAGCGAAAGTGTGGCCTCCGGAAAAGTGAGACCAGAAAAGGCGGAAGCTATGCTGGCATTGGTGACTTGATCAGTTTTTCTCAAACTTTGGTTTGAAAACTGGTATCAGAATCACTTGGAGAGCTACTAAAGAATGCAGAGGCCCAGGCCCACTGAAGTAGGATAGGGCCTCCGGCCTTTGTATTTTTAGCAACTTGCCCAGTTCCCCAGGTAATTCTGTTCCTTACCAAAGCCCTAGACCCACCACACTGGAGTGTAGGCTACTGCAGGTGTAGCTTTTTAAAGCAGGTATGACTGAAGCAAGGATTTGATAATAGACATGTGAATCTCTGTATAGATATTTTATACATTAGTGGATGGAACTGTATTTGCCACATTTAAACTGCAAGGCAGCTAAGTTCTGTGTGTGCTGTAGAGCACTAGTGGAGTTCTAGTTTGAATTGTTAGTGCCAGGCCTTGGCAGGCAGTGATGCATCTCCTGCCCCAAGAGCCAGCCTTCGGTGTGGAACAACGAGGGACCCGTTGTGGGGCAACGTTGGATTCACATGGCTTGTCCTTAGGCTTGAGAGTCACTTCCCATCAGTGCAGTCTCAGTTTTGTTCTCGAGGGTTGATTTGTTGATTATACAAAGTGTAGTCGTGTCTTTAGATTTCAGGGTCCAAAATTGCACCTTCACCCCTAGAGATGAGGTGGGATTTTGCCAGTAGAGAAAAAAATGTGAGCCCTTATTGTAGAGAGAATATGCCATCTTCTAGAATTGAAGGTGAGAAAAATTTCAGTGAAATTATTGTAAACCAAGGGAGGAAGGCCTGTGCTCGGGGCATTTTATTTTTCAAGTTTTATTTTGTAGCGGTTTCACATTTAATGAAGAAAAGTTGCAAGAATATCAGAAAGAGCTCTTACATACCCTCACAGAGACCCCACTCAAGTTTTTTGCCCCAGCAATGTCCACAGCGAAAGGATCCAGTCCTGGGTCATGCGCTGTACTCAGTTGTCATGTGTTTCTAGTCTCCTTCAATCTGGAAGAGTTCTTCAGTCTTCCCTTGACCTTCATGACCCCAGAATTTCTGAAGATTGCAGACTAGCCATTGTAGAGTGTCCTTCAATTTGGGTTTGCTTGATGTTTCCCCGTGAGTAGGCCCCAGGTTTATCGCAGGAGTAAAGCTATTCTTCCCAATGAGTCTCATCGGGTGGCACATAATATCGACGAGTTCCATTTCTGATGGTGTTAACTTTGAGCTTTGATGGGTGATGTTCAGCAGCAGTTTCTGTTCAGGAGTCTGCTGGTGTGATTGTTCAGTTGAAACAAATGTAGAAAGGGGAGAAGTCTTACCCAGGAAAGAGATTGCCAGAGTTAAGCCACTTCATCAGCAACAAAAGCAGAAACCATGCAGCAGGACTAGACTAATATTCCTGTTGTTGAGTGAGGCCGTGTCACTGGACAAAGCCCACCTTAATGCAGCACTAAGGTACCCAAAACTCAAACTCATTTCCAAGGGTACATAGAAATTGGGAGGTTTAAAATATGTTGGATGAGGAAGACAGGCTGTCTCAAATAAGACCTGGTCTGTACCTGTGCAAATTTCTCAACTCTGCAAGAAAAGCAATGTTATTGCGTATGCCAGTTGCTGAGAAAGAGAGGAGACTGTTTTCATAGATGGAATTTCCCCCAGATGTGGGCAACATAGTGCCATAATTAGCCTCTTAAGGTAACTAACCAACTGAATTAAATAAGCAATCCAGTTGAAGTTCTAAAGTCATGGGTTCTGAACAATTGGCAGAGACTGACAGGCATCCTGGCAAGGCCTAAACCTTCCCTTAGCTGCTTCTGAGTCTCTGCCATCGTCCTGAGCACTGCTAAGTTTTATGTTATAAGGGTATAATTTTACCTAGGAGAACCTTTTTAGGAGCTGTTGGGTGCACAACTGCATGAATATGCTGAACACCACTGAACTGTATGTTTTAAAACAGTGGATTTTATGGTACATGAATTATATCTCAACTTTTAAAAAAGCAAGACCTACTTGAATCATATCTAATGTAACTTCTAAGGCTTTAAAAGAAATACTGGCTGTGGCTGTTGAAAGGACCCTGCCCTCACCCAAGCGTCAAAGCCCCCTCTGGTTAAGATTGAACACAAGAATTTGGGGAAGGTTGTTTTTGATCTGGACTTTGGTCTTTTAACTCACAAAGACACGGAACTTTAGTTTTGGATTTTAATTGTAGTGGTCTTTAACATTTTGGATTTTTATTTGCAAGATTTAATTTGTGAACCTTGATTTCTCTCTGTAAATTTAATTATGGGAGGGGATGGTATTTAAATTTGGGTGTCTCTAAGTTGTTGGCGTTTTATTGTCTAAACTTCTTTTGGCTTTGTTGACTTCTACTCAGACTTTAAGAGTAGGTTCTACCACTTCTCAATGCTTCTGCATGACAGATCATGGAGACCTCAGGGTGCTTTTCCATAATACTGTCTTGAATAGCTGCTCCCTTCTAAAGAGAATAGCCCCAAACAGTTCATGCTGTGCAAAGTTCTGGTTTCCAGGGAAACAAATCCTGTTACACTGTTGGACCAGAAACTAGAGTCTGGGCCGTCACTACCACCACGAGCGCCACCATCATCTGAATAGCTTTTATTTTTTAATTCTATAAACTGATGTTAGGGATATTCAAGGATCTGGTTCTTGAGTTTTTGTGAACATGTGTTTTATTATCAATGAATTAATGATTTAATCAATACAAATGTAGAAACAAATGAAGAAAAAGACACTCAAATACAGACCAATGGTGAAGACTCGTGACATAGGAGTCATGGATGATGAAAGTACATGTCTGAAACTCTGAGGTCCAGCATGAAGTATTAGTCTTAGTATTAGCAAGGAATTAATCTATTCCTTCTATTGAAACTTTCTACAGAGAGACGCTAGGAGTATTCAAAGATCATATTCTTGTATTGATTTTATAAATATAGATTTGTTATGAATTGAATAATGATAGAACCATTAAACTAATATAAATATATAAAGAAGAACAGACTGAAGCATTGTTTATGAACATGTGTGGTGAGGCAAAAATGTATTTTTGATAAGCATTGAAAACAGTGGTGCCCATTAAGAAATAAGTGGGTAAAGGTCTCACCTCTTCAACTAAGGTTATGGAGATTCTAAGGAAGAGTCAATTTTATTGTTTTGTGGCAGTCTCAAGACAGAATTGTTCCTTTTGGGAAGATAAAATTGTATATATTAAGGAAAAATAATAAATGCCTAAATACTGAGTCAAAGAAGCGTAGAAAGCCAGGATTAATGCTGATTAGGTGATTCTCTGAATATCTTGAGAATTTGGTTGGCATGGTCAGTCGACCCTGAGTGCAGTGATGAAACTGGACTCTGGCTGTTAACAGGGAAGCTGGGAGGCAGAAACTCAGGGAGCTCCAGCATGGTCCTGCTGCTCTGTGAGTCTCACTCGTTGACATCTCTAAGTGGTGGAGCTGGCACTTGATCTCAGGTCAGCCTGATGTCCAAATCCATGCTCTGTCTACTCCAGTCATAAGGAGTGTGAGGTCAGTGGGCATGAGGCTGGAGCAGAGCATGGCCAGGAAACAGACTTAATCTACTTTATCCAAGGTTGACCCTGGCAGAATCTTTGGTGGTTAAACATTTCACTCCTGAATTTAAGAAGGAAAACCATGCATTATATCAGCTGGCCACCAGAGGGCACTGTGGAACAGGCAGCTAGTTGCTGAAGCCAAGGCTGTTTAGTTTTCCCTAGATCCTGCTTCAAACTCAGATTCTGGTCTTCCCGTCTGCTGCGCTTACTATTGGGTCACACCACAAGGCCAGCTAAAGGTTTGAATCTATACTATTTTACACTTACTTTTGAAAAAGAGAAATCTATTTTTCATGTTTTCTACATGAACTGCCTTTTTTGTGCTGTAAAAAATTGTCTTTAGGGGCCAGCCCGGTGGCTCAGCGCCTAAGTGTGCACCTTCTGCTTTGGCAGCCCGGGGTTCGCCAGTTCTGATCCAGGGTGCGGACGTGGCACCGCTTGGCAAGCCATGCTGTGGTAGACATCCCACATATAAAGTAGAGGAAGATGGGCACGGATGTTAGCACAGGGCCAGTCTTCCTCAGCAAAAAGAGGAGGATTGGCAGCAGATGTTAGCTCAGGGCTAATCTTCCTCAAAAAAAAAATTGTCTTTAAGTATAATGTTGTGAATAAAAACATGGGCTCTAGATTTGGACTTACCTGGACTCTAATCTCAGTCAATCATTTATTAGTTGTGGGAGTTTAGTGGCTACTTAATGTCTCTGGCCTCCATTTCCTCATTTGTAAATTGGGAAAAATAACCATCTCTCAGGTTTGTAACAGTTAACTAAGATAATATATGTAAAGCATTGGCATAGTTTCCATCATAGAGTAAGTGCTCAATAAATGGTGATAGTTACTACTACTATTTAAAGAGCCCTAGATCAACTTATTTTTATGGTTTTTCTGTGACTGCAATTCCATTTCAACAACACAAGCTAACTGTCACTTAGTCCGTAACATTTTCCCCAAGAATTGAGTCCCTAGTCTAGTCACCTTTGAATCTTCCATCACAAACTACAGTGCTTAGGCACAGGGGCTCAAATGATATTTGTTGAACTAAGTGGTGACAATCGAGTGAGGAGCTTTTTTTTTTTAAGATGAGACTGAGAAAGTGGGCTTTATTACTCAGAAAATGGCTCAACTTACAAAGCAGTTAGCTTTAAGATTAGCAGGGGGAGTAAAATGAAGAAGCGAGGAGATTTGAAAATACATTCATGGTGATCGCTAATAAAGCGATCATTTCTTGAGCACCTACTTTGTGCCTGCCCTCCAGAGGCTCACTGCCTGGCCGGGAGATAGAGATCTCCCTAGTTGTGATACAGTGTGATGAACACGTTAGCTTTTGAAGCATGTGAAGAGGAGAGGATGGATTCTGCTTGTGGTGGGAGTGGGAAGCAGGGAAGGCATCTGTGCCAGTTAGTCTTTTTTTCCCCGCCTCCCCACCCCCAATCCATTCTCTATCCATTCTCTGCCCTGCTCTGTGTCCTGGGATGCTGAATCCTGCATAGGCATGCCAGTGCTCTGTTGCCCTCTGGCATCTGGTTGGGTTCCTCCAAAGGGAATCAACAGTGGGAGATCAAAGGGCGGGAGGAGAGAGAGGCTGGGGTATTTCTTGCCTGCTTCAGCACCGTCTCTAGCAGTGACTGTGGCTGTCGGTGCAGCCCCTCCTTTGTGCCTCCAGCTCTCAAAGGGCTCGTGTAACAGTATTTCCTCCTCTTGGCCCATTCAGTCTTGGGGTAGTAATGGCTTCCTACATTTGCTGTTGTCTGGGTGCCACCCTATCCCTCATTTATTTTTTTCATATTGCCCGTATCTCTGTAAGTAAGCTTTCCACTTAAGAAAATCTCTTCATCTGGACTTTGCTGGGACCCAGATCAATACAGCATCCTAGAAGAGGAGACACTGGAGCTGGGCCTTGACAAATGAGCAGCATCTTGTCAAGCAGAGAAGAGAGAAAAAGGTATTCCAGACAAAAAGGACAGGCATGGAGATGGGAAAGATTTGTCACTTGGGGCTGCGATGGGTGATGTAGGGTAGCTGGAATACAGGGTGCAGCTGAAAATTGGATCTGGCTGAGACAGAACTGAGCATGGTAGCATCTGGAGTGTGGAGTTAAGGGATTCCCTTCTCTAAAGGGTCTGTTTGCACCTTCCAGTTTACAAGGAGGATGGTGAGTCTTGGAGGTTGTATGTTCAGACCTGTTCAGGTTTATCTGATGGATTTGGAAGAAAGGTGCTGTGGAAGTCAAGATAAAGGGAGAGATTCCAGAGATCTTGAGATTTCATCACAAGGGAAGAAAGAGTCACAAGTATGAAGTGGCTTCAAAAAGGATCAGAAAGGAGTGATGGTCCCAGGAAAGCATGGTGACTATGCTTGAACTAATCCTAACTCGTCCCCCCAGGGGTGCACATCCTGAGGAGGAAAGGGGTTTTCTAAGAAGGGTTAAGAGCTGTCTCTCTAAGGTCTCTATATCTTTAGGGCCAGGCATTTTCCCTTGGGTACCTTGATAGGAGTCCTGTGTCACCAGGACTATCTCAGTCACACACAGGCCAAGTGGGCAACTGAACAGTTTGGAAAGAGGAGCGGAAAGACAATCAGGAAACCCGAGGTTGTTGCCAAGTGCCCATGTAACCTTGGGCAAATTACTCCATTTTTTCAGGACTTCAATTTTCTCATCTAGCAAACAAAAGTTGAAATTGGATGTTTGGGTTCCCTTCTAGAATCCACCCTCTACCTTTGGTTGTCTCTACTTCAGTGGAAGAGAAAGTCAGCCAAGGGCCTGAGGTCCAAGTAGGGAGGAGAAGTGGCTGACCATGAGTGGCAGGTCGCATCCTCAAAGCCAGCCATGCTCATTGTTTCCTCCAGCCATCAGTCACCCATCACTGCCAGCTGTGATGTGTTTGGAATCTGTTGAGCATTGGTGGCCATTGAGAACTTGGGGGCACATTCCCGCATCTGCTGATTGCCCATGACTTATTGTCCTGTGGGAATCTAGTGGTTTGGATACTGCGGTCAATCTTTTAAAGCTGTGATACTTCCTGTTCTCCTCCTGCCTCTTCCTTTTCTTTCTTTTTTTTTTTTTTTTGAGGAAGATTAGCCCTGAGCTAACATCTGCTGCCAATCCTCCTCTTTTTCTTGCTGAGGAAGACTAGCCCTGAGCTAACATCCATGCCCATCTTCCTCTACTTTATATGTGGAACACCTACCACAGCATGGCTTGCCAAACGGTGCCATGTCCACACCCGGGATCCGAACCAGCGAACCCCAGGCTGCCAAAGCAGAACTTGCGCATTTAACCATTGCACCACAAGGCTGGCCCCTGCCTCTTCCTTTTTTGTTCTGTTTCGATGAGAGTGAACTTGAAAACTATCAGAGTGGAAACCACATACAGACGAATCGTGGTCTGATGTAGAAGCCCTGTTGCTTACAGATTGAGTGAGGTCAGGCAAGCCATTTATCCTTTTTGAGTCTTGCTTTCCTCACCTTTTAAACTGAGGCAAAACTCATGCCTTTCTCTTCCACGCAGATATTCTGAAGATGCAGGAGGCTCTCAGATGTGAGATGCTTTAATTTGACCAACTTTCCATATTGACATGAGGGCCGACCTTGGATCCTTATTCATTCATCATTGGATACTGGCTGGTAACTTCCTGGTTGACTTTTGAAGCTATACTCCACCACTTTCCAAAAAGAACTGTGGCATCTACAAAATAATTGGTCATTATATTTCCTATAAAATAGAGAAATATACTAGAATAAAAGACCATGACCATGGGATGTGGTGAACCCCCGTAGATATGTGGGCCATGGGCTCACCTGCTTCCCCTGCTCTCTGGGAAGGAGTCTATTTACTTCCTCTTAAGGATTTCCTTTTGTCTCCTAATTGCTGCTTCTTGTGCCATGGGCCCCATTAACACTTCTTCATAGCAACCCTGTTTGTCATTGGTTTTAGCCAGCTTCATGGTCAATGTCTCATGAGGGTGGTAAGAAATGGGAAGGACCTTATTTTTCCCTCTACTGAATTGCCTGGAGATCATCTCTTAGTGACTGCAGCTGGAAGTGTGACATTTAATTAGTGGAGAAAATTGAGTCAGGCAACAGGCAGCCTGTGCCAGTGAGAGGGTAAGAAGAGGCTAGGGAAGAAGTGGTGTGCTCAGTAGGGCAGTTTGGCCCAGGTTTGCTCCTAGATCCAGATCGGGTGCTCACATCACCACAGGTGGAGATTGTAGAAGCTTAGGGAATTTTCCATAGTGATGGGAACCA